AGTCAGAGAACAATAAACATTTAAAGCCACTGTGGACAAAAAAATGGGTAGGTAAATAAGTATGAAGCTGAGCACATCATTTCATTTCACTGATTTAAGTTTCAAAACAACGGGAGGGGGGGGCGAGGGAGAGAGAGAATAGAAAGCAGGTAGGTACCTAATTGTCTAAAAATTACAAAGTTAGTTTTTAGATGCTCTCATGAGGATGGTAAATTACACTGATGATTTTACTTCATTTGATCGGGGGAAAAAAAAAACATTGTACCCTTGCTCATTTCCCTAGGGTTGTGTTTGCAGGCCAGACCATGCTAGGAAAAGCTAAAAATGGATGCAGAGTTCCACTACCTTCTACGGGGGAAATGGTTTTTCTTCAGGGATAAAGCTCCCTGCCAAAGTTTTAAAACTTTCAACTAGGTTAATTAATTCTTACATAGGACATAAGGACACAAAATTACTAAAAATCACATAAAACCATTATTCTATTAAACTAACATTTTAAAGAAAAAACCTATTCCACACCTGGCAAGTTACTTAACTCTATGATATAGCAAGGCAAGATCTTTTTTCTGATCCACAAGATAAACTATCTTATTCAGGAGATCTCTGTCATTTCTCTGCCTTTCCAGAGAAAATGTTTCAGCATCCACATCCACATCCAGACCTATCTATGAATACTTGTAAAAGGAACAAAGAGCTTTCCTGTAGGGTATGCCAGTGAGTTAAGAGTCATTTTAATAAAAATATCTTAGACAATGCCCAATTAGTTCCCAAATCAATTCTGTACATTAGCACGTTTGCCTGTATTTGTGTGCCAGCAAATAATGCAAATGCATCAAAAATTATTCATTTTTCTGCTATTCAGTGCTCAGCAAGTCAATAAAACAAGCTACTAATCACTACACCTAGACATTTCAGTCTGGCTTTCAAAGTTCAACTCATTTAATACTTACAGTCAGAAACTTGACTTACTTTCATTATTGGGTTTCAGGACACAGCTATGCAGTTTAGGAGTGACACTATATATTTGGAGTGTACGGCTACACAGGACAGGAGAGTTAATTGGTTGGCTTACCTTTTTCTAGATATTCTTCTAATCCCCGGCGTCGGGCATCTAATTGTTGTTCTGATAAGGAGAATGGCCACTTTCCTGGAAGTCGGGGAAATGTAAAGTTGGCAAACTCTCTCTTTAGGTTCTGGTGTAGGATGGCAAATTCCCGGTACCGTTTAGAACACAGCTGCCTCCCTGCCATGTAAACATTGTATACCTGATGAAAGAGAACAACAGAAAAAGCCTACTTAATACAAATTAAATCACAGAATCATCTAAAGTTAGGCTCAGATAGATATACATTACACAGAGACTATGTTCAAGATCACTTTAAAATATGACTTACTTTTAACAAACATGCCCAAAGTTACATGGACAAAAGAGGACCATCCCTTTCAAGGGGATGACATGATCTTATTTTTCCTAATAAACTTACTTCCAACACACTTTAAATATCTTTGAAGACAATTACAGTACCAGTTTGGTTTTTTAGAGGGTTTTTTGGTACTGGGATCGAACTCAGGTCCTTGCACTTGCAGGGCAGACGCAGTACAGGTATTTGAAATTTTAAAAAGCTCCACAGAGTGTAATTTACCAAACTATTTTATAAGTAATATTTTTGTATCTTAAGAGACATTTTTTAATCTCCAAAATCTAAGGGCTATTCATCAATAATTTCTATTAACAGCTTTTACATTTTTGTTTTGTCTGGAATTGATTTTTCTGTATAATATGAAGTACACTTCCACTGGTATTTCTTTTTTTTTTATTTTGTTTTGTTTCCCAATACTGGGGATTGAATCCAGGGCCTCTGTACTAAGCTACACCCCCATTCCCTTTTTATTTATTTATTTTTTATTTTGAGGCAGGATCTTACTAAGTCCCTAAGTTTCCCAGGCTGGGCTCAAACTTGTGATCCTCCTACCTCAGCCTATTGAAGAACCTGGGTATTTTTAACCTCTTTAACAGGTAATTATTTGGACTAGGGTACAGCTCAGTGCTATAACACTTACATAATATGAACAAGGCCTTGGCTTCCATCTCCAGACACAGACAAACACACACACACACACACACACACATTCAAAAAAGGTAATTGTTTAAAAGAAAGATAACAATGTGTCATGGAGTTTATAACAAAAATGAATGACAACAATAGCACAAATGATAGGAGGGCTGAAATACATTCTTGTAAGAGTCTTGTACTATATAGTCTTGTACTATAAGATAAAATGGAACCGTTTTAAAATACTCTATTAACCCAAAAGAATCTAGTAAGGATAAAGAATAGATGAGATATAAATAACAAAGACCAAGATGGTAAATTTATGTAACTGTATCAATAATTATACTAAATATAAGTATTCTATACTTTTGAAATAAAAAGACTGAGATCACCTGATCAGATAAAAAAGGAAGGCCCAGCTATCAGCTACCAATAACAAACTCACTTTAATGATAAATATACAGATAAAAGTAAAAAGGACAGAAAGATACATAATGAAACTAACTAAAGAAAGGGCCGGGCAGGCAGGAGGATCACAACAAGTTAAAGGCCAGCTTGTGCTGCATAGCAAGACTCTGTCTCAAAAAAAATAAGCAGAAATGGCTATTAGTGGCCATATTTTAAAAGCAGAGAAAGATTTCAGAACAAAGAATATTACTGGGAATAAACAGTTATTTCATAATTTAAAAAGGTCAATTGATCAAGAAGATAAAATAGCTTCTTTGTATACAGAGAAAACCTTATATAACTGATGATTCCACTTCAAGTGTTGTTGCATAAACTCCCTTTACACTAATATGAGGAAGAACTACAAACTCTGAACAAAGTACTGAAAAAGCAATTGGCTGAGGATTCTGAAGCAAGCAGATTGTGGAGGGGAGTCAAAATCTGCTAAGTTCAGAGATGGTTTCCGGTTTTTAAGGGGCTTTGTCCTGTGATGGGCATCAGTCACAAAGCAGCACAACTGAAACTGTTAAACTCTAGCAGAAGCAGATGGTGTACACCTGCACTCCCAGATCCTTGGGAGGCTAAGGTAGGAGCTCTGTGAGCCCAAGAGCTGGAGGCCAGGTGGGCAGCAGCAAGATCTCCTCTATAAAAACAAACAACTCCAGTAGAAACCCTGACATCTTTCTGGAAAAAACAAAAGGACAGGACTACTGTATAGGCAAACGCAGCTACCACCAGAATGAGTAGAGAATCCCAGTGCAGAGAAAAGAGGGGAACTTTTTTCTGTTAATGAATAACGTAAGTATCTCAGGTCATTCTCTCAGGTAATGCTGCGTTCAGACTCAAAGGAGCACAGCAAAGGTTCAAAGAATTAAACTAAGACGTGAAGTTCTGATAGATAAAAACAGTACTGTTCAGAGGAATATTACTGAGCCCAGAGTCTACATAATGTAACATTCACAAAAGTCAGGACACAAAACCAAATTACTCAATACACAAAGGACTAGAAGGATTTTGACTCATTCTCAAGGGAACAGATACTTTAGATAGAGGCCAATCCCCAAATGATGTAAATGTTGAAATGTTCGTGTATTAGTCATTGGAACAGAACGGTGTCCAGAATACAAGTGACACAATAAGGTCAACTTTTTTCAACTAATGCCAAGGCATTTCAATAGGGAAAGTTTATAAGGGGTGATCAGAATATACAGTGAATGTTAAAACTTTTAAAATTTGTTATAATGAAAGATACACTTCCATTGATCTCCTTCAAAACACTCCCCCTTGTTTTGCTTTAAACACACATCCCATTGTTTTTGTCACTTTCTGAAGCAGCTCTCCAAGTTTTGTGTATTTATGAAGTGTGATCAAAAATATAGTGAATGATGGTAAGTGCCATGCAAGGGGAAGGCAGGCTCATAAAAACATTTCAGTGTGTCTTCCTCCACCTTAATCACCAGATCTGACACTGTGAGACTTCTGGCACTTTCCCAAAGTCAAAATGACCACAAAAAGCAAACACTTTAATAGATTCCGGACATCAAGGGAGCCAAGACAACTCAACTAAAGACATATGAAAGAGGACTTCCAGAGCTGTTTCAGAAAGTAGCAAGAATGATGGGATAAGTGTCTTTAGAGTGAGGGGGAATTTTTTTTTTTTTTTTGGTACCAGGGATCGAACTCACGTCCTTGCCCCTGCAAGGCAGGCATGGCACCACTCAGCTAAATCCCTGGCCCTGAGGGGGAATATTTTGAGGGGGATTTACTATAATACATTTTTTTAACATTTAAACATTCGCTGTATGTTTCAATCACACCTGTATTCTTTTTGCAACAAGTTGCTGAAACAACTGGTTATCTATCTATAAATAAAAGAACTTTGGTGATGTCAGCAAGAAGGCTGGCTAGAGGTGCCTGGCATACTTCCCTCCACAGCAAAGAAAAAGAAAGAAAAAACCCCAGCTATTTCAACAGAGTCCTTGAGGCAGAGCACGGGACTGCAGTGGGTATGTGGCAGAGACACTGCACAGCAGAGTTAACAATAGCCTTAAGCAGAAGGAAGTAACAGGCAGGCGTGGTGGCACACGCCTGAGATCCCAACACTCCGGAGGATAAGGAGGGCATCACCATGAATTTGAGGCCAGCCTGGGCTACACAGTGAGCTCAAGGCCAGCCTGGACTTTACACAGTGAGACTCTGTCTCAAAGAGCAAGGAGGTGGCGGGGGGGGGGGGCACACGCACTAAGTACATGGCATTTACAATCCTGTCTCTTAAGGTCAACCCTGAACCAAGAGGGACTTTGCTTGGAAAGAAAAAGGTAAGCAGGAGGCCGCCAGCAGTCCCCACTTAAAACCACAGACACCTGAACCATATATTTGCTAGTGGAGAAGACTCCAGCCCTGACAGGCTATAAGCCCAGTTTGGCGTGCCAGGTTACCACTCACTGCTTATCAGAGACAGCTCATAGAGCATCCACCCTACCCAAGCCCCTGTTGCACACTGCCATCTTGAAACTTCATCCACCCAGGGCCTATGCAGCAGCAGAGCAGCTGCTCCCAGAAGTGTGGAGGACTCAGGACTATGAACCACCAGGGGGCCTGGCTTATCCTTCTGTGCCCCCAAGAGCCCCTGGGCAGCCTACCTGGATGGTATGGCCGATCGAGGCCCCAGGAAAAAACCAAGTGGGCCTGTCCACCTTTCTTCTGCCCAAGGCAGCAGTTGGGCACCTGCCCTGAACAACTGGGCCTCCCAAGGGCCCTGCCATTTCCCACACAGCCCTTGGACACTGGGATGGTTGCCCAGTCTGGGCCCAGCATAGAGCATGGCCCTCATGTGACCCTCAGAAACTGACACGTGCCCTGATCTGCTACTGGGCATGCTGCACTGCACCCACCTGGGGCCACGAGCAGGCCCCACTGCCACATGACTTGGACACGGAGCAGCACCAGTCCAGCCGGAGTGACCCCACACCCAAGTAACCCCCACCAACAAATTACCATGCCGAAGAGAGCTGCATTCCAGCTGGTAGCCCAATCCCATAACCCAGGCAGTCTAGGTCAATGAGATGGCCATAGACATCACTAATACTGACTGATTATATCAGAAGCAGCTATGGACACTATGCTACAGCACCAACCTATAACAAATGCCTATCCAACCAACACTCTACAGCAACTGCCAGGAGACTCTCTTCATAAAATTGACAGAGGCAACTGATCTGTCAGATGCACAAGTCTCAGTGTAGAGACATAAGAAACATGAAGAACCAAGGTAATATGACAGCTCCAAAGGAACACAATCACTCTCTAGCAACACACCCCAAAAATTGAAATCAATAAACTGCCTGAAAAAGGATTCAAGATATTCTTGATTCTAATTTTAAGGAAACTTAATGAGACACAAGAAAATGCAGACAGGTAATTCAATGGCGAAGACAATTCATGACATGAATAAGAAACTCAACAAAGAGATCATAAACAAGAACCACTCAGTAATCTTAATTCAATACTTGAATTAAGAAAGACAGTTACTAGAGCTGAGAGTGGTGGTGCACACCTGCAATCCTAGCACTGGGAGGCTGAGGCAGGAAGATCATGAGTTCAAGGCCAGCACGGATCTTGTTATAGATCCTGTCTCAAAAAACAGGACAGAGGAAAAAAAAAGAAAGGAGAGAGGAAGAAACAAGTACAATTAATTGCTTCAACAGCAGATTAGAGCAAGCAGAAGAAAGAATTTCTGAGCTTGAAGACAAGTCTTTTAAAAT